CTTACATTTGATAATCAGGTAATGGCAACACGTTGTTTAGTTTATAATCTCTCAGTGGTAATTCCGAAGAGGAGGTTCACAACACAGAATGTGCTGAAAATCGAATTTAGAATAACCTAAGATTTTCCGTAGAAAAACTTACAAAAAAAAAGAACCGATGAAGAGAGAGAATGTTAAAGTGGATGAATAAGCGGGTGAATTTCCATCATTCCAAATTTTCTGCAATGGATATTCATTTCAGTTTCGCATTTGAACGCTTTAATACGACGCGACGGTTGCAATCAGCTGACTTTCCGAACGGTTTGGTTTATGATAGATGATAAAACAAAGACAGAGAACATCTTTGTCAAGGTGGTGCAGAAAATTGGAATCATTTATCATTTTATTTGTGGAAGGAAACCACAATCCGAAAAAAATAATGGAAGGATGCGATATTCAAGAGACGTTATAACTTTGGAATCATTGATTATTCAGCTTCATTGTTTTTTCCCTTTCTGTTGATAATTTGCCAATATTCAACACGCCCATTCAAAAAAGTCCAATTCCAGTCAACTTCGTTTCGCAGTATGCCTGTATCCATGTTGGGGCTTGAATTCATATGGAATGGATTAATGTTGTCAGAGAATGACACAACTTCCGCATTTCATGTGTCATGCGATATACACACCGATGTCTGATGACTTCAATTCGAACGTCGGGTAACGGATGCATTAACACTGTAACGCCAATCACCGCTGAATATTTCATTAGGATATTTTGTTCAAAAATATAATAGCCGACGTGCTCTGCACGAATGTATGCGGTGTTTGCCAGATTATACAACACATGCGATCGGAAACAAAAAAATTCGATCAGCTTTTGATTGCTGTAAATCGGATGAAATGTTGATATTTGCGGATGTAATACCTCCCGATTCGCGTTCAGCATATTTCTCGATAATATTCCATGCGTTATAATGGCTTTAATAACGTTCATTGATATTTATTTCAGCAAAGGCTCTTTCTGTCAAACAATCTGTTGAGGCCGAATTTTTTTTCGAATGGTAAAGAAACAATATTCAGGATAAGTACTAAGATGTAAAATTATGATTTGAATATAATCTGCATATACTTGAAAAGTTTCCATAGGTGAAAATTATTTTCGTACTGTAAATATCGAATATTCGTCAATGTGAAGAAATGATCAAACAGATATGAAACAAGAGTTCCAATAAAACCTGTGTGTCAATGATAACATTGTCTTGAAAAAGTAAGCAAACTGAAAAAAATAACATCAAGAAGAGATTGTTTATTTTCAACCCTCATTAGAGATCCGATTTGACAAAAATGTATCTATTTGAAATGAACCACAAAATAACACATAAGATTTTTTTCTTCTTTTCCTTGACTCTGATGGTTTGGCGAGATGAAAGTATTAAACATTAATTTTTTCCTTAAAACCATGATTTCTAATTTATTTAATACTCTCAAGAAATGAAGTGGCCTCCTTGTCGTGAATTCCTGAATGAAGTAGAATAAATTCATTTCTGGAATTTATCTAGCCTACTTTGATCACGGTGAGTTTCAGTTTCCACAGTTACAAGGCAAATACAAAATTGGCAATATCGAAAACTTGAGTGTATCAATTTTTTGCATATTCAGGACGGATGCATGAAATATTGTTCATAGTTTTTTTTTATTTTCGAATTTACTCATCCCCTGTTCCAATCCCAATGAAACTAATCATTTTTTCGAAATAAAAATTTTAGAAGAGAGGAAATATATTTGAAAGGTACTCGTATACATGTACACTAATACATGTACGCGAGCGCCAAACGTTTTGTCTACTACTGTGGCAGACATCATCATTGGTGTGTTCGTATACTGCGATGACGAAATACACAATTATTGCAAAAAATAGAAAACATGAATGAAAAATTAATAAATGACTGACTGAAACATTGGGGACAAGAACAATTTGAAGCTCTCAGGAAGAGCTTTGCTAACAAGTGTGCCAATATAAAATGTAAATGAGCTATCAAGAGGTTACTTTTTCCTATTGAATCAAGTTTTTGCTAGAAAGTGATACTTTGATGAAAAAATATTCATTTCGAATAATATGATGCTTATGTATCAAGTACCATGATGACTTCCTCAAAAACGAAACATTTCAAATATCAATCCCACCAGTCTCTCTTCTGCTTCCGAGCACCAAACACCTTTGACACTATTACCTAGATGGTTCATACCTCAGTAACAACTAATCCATACACACATCTAATTTGTTCTTTTCGACCGCTGCGATGGAAAACAGATGAAAAACACAAATAAAATAAGTAAAAAAATGTATGTTGAACGATTTTATTGATAATTGATAATGCACTAAAAGCTAAAAAATAATTCGAAAGGTTCTAGGTAGCAATCATCACACCACTCTTCTCAACAATCTACGGTGGTGATCAGATAAAAAAAAATTATAAAATCTTTGTGTGAAGTATTCATATATTTACTCAGGTTACGCGTAGTATTTACATATTTACTCAGGTTACGCTACGCCCAATGAATTTATTATTTTTTTATCTGATCAATACCGTAGATTGCTGAGGAAAGTGCTACTTAGGATCTTCTGAATTGTTTTTTAGCTATTAGTACATTATCTACATCATTTTATATTTTTTTTCAATAAATAAATTTTTTTTCTTTTCAAACTATACTACTATTCTACTAGTTAAGTCTTATCATTTGATACCCATATTGAGGTAGTTGGGAAAAATATGTAGTCCGCCATTTTGTAGCTGCAGCCATCTAAGATTCACAATGATATAGAATTTATTAAATTGTATTGTCATCAAAACTAAATGTGTATCAGATCAATCTGTAAACAGAAAGGGAGTCGAACTTCAATTACTAAATTTGACCCTAAATGGAACCGTTTAACGTTTAAAAACTCGCCCGGTCAGAAGTGAAATCCGGAAATACATTTATAACAACGGTACTTGTTTCAACACAAACTTTCTTCGAGTTCAATAAGACCGGAATGGAGTTGTTTGGAGTCGCGAGCAAAGCAAATTTTCCCCAACTTTCCCGGCAGAGAACTTTAAATAAAAAGGTGTCGATCTGATTGTCCTCGAAGGAAAACTGGCTGAGTTTATTATAATAACTGGATTATGTTTTTTGCCTTCAGGCAGCAGTTCGAACCTGGCAAACCGCTTCGTCTTCCTTTGTGAATTCTCTCTCCTTCCTTTGGTTTGTTTTCCTCCATGCGTTCGAAGAAGTAAATGGGAGTATGTGTGGGATGGATTTGAGTTTGTAAGGAAAATATGATTTATAAGTTTGGCATTCTATTATTCTCAATCCGGTTGACAACACTTTATATTCGCCGATTATGTCTTTCGGAGAATGGATGAAATACTTATTCAAGAAATATTAGAAAACAAACGGATCTACTTCAAATACTGTGTATTTCTGGATAATTTTACCGAAGTCTTTCATTATGCTGCCATTGCGTGTACTTAGTGCATACTTCTTCAATCTGTCGGCGAAGCTGTGAAATAACATAGTATGTATAGAGTAGTAGAAGAGCTTGTTTTTGGTTGATGAAAATTCCAACATTTTCTCAATTTTTCTAATTTTTGAATATACAGCTATTTTGTCATGATAAGTAAAAGTGGATTATTTGTATGAAGGTGATTGACAATGTTACATGATGAATTTCACTAGTTCGGACTTCCATTGTCTACTATATAAAATGATTTGAAATCCCTTGAAAAAAAAAACTTTTTTTTTTATATATTTTTACAAATATAGTCACAGTGTGCATTGAGTGTTAGTGATTTATCCAACACGAAGCCTAAATACTTGAATTCTGACACTTATTCAATTTTGTCTCCCACCACTTCGAGTTGAAGCTTTTCATAGTCAATTGATTTCAGTTTATTTTTCTTACTAATTATCATTGATTTGGTTTCATTCGTATTAATTTTTAGATTATTTTTCAACAATCGATTCATGCGCTCCACTGTTTCTACAGCGTCATGTCCATATCATGCAAGTAACGTGTCATCTGCAAATAAATTCAAAAAATCATAACCTTGTATATAATTTACATCATTCAGGTAAATTATAAACAGCAGTGGTCCCAAGACACTCCCTTGAGGTACGCCTATATTGTTTGAAATTTCATTTGAGAAACATTTCCCCACTCTAGTTATTTGTGACATGCCATTGAGATAATTTTTGAACCAAACGCGAAGCTAACCCTATTTATGCTATATACTATATGCTTTATATTCCTATATGGGATATCTATATAGCATAAATAGGGTTAGCTTCGCGTTAGTTTCTAGTTTTAATCTTCCTTCTTGAAGATGTTCACTTGGTGATCGAAACACGTGTCGAGGTGTTAAAAATAAAGATTTGGTGTTGGGAAAGAAACTCCAGTAATATTCATTACTACACCAAAGGTTCCAAACAGCGCATTATAAGAAATACATTTCTTTCCGGAACTCATACGAAAAATAAAACATATTAATAGTATTATGAAAAGTTGAATTGCATAGAAACTTTTGAAAGTTCATTGTTACGTTGTGTAAATGTGGCCAATACATTAAAAGGAAATCCCACAATACCCGCTTATTGCATTTATTTATACCAGACGTGAAGTTAATATGCTTTGTCAGATTACTTCATGTTAATTCACTTCCAAATAAGATACACCATGATAAGCATAATGTAATTGATAAAAATATATAATATTTAATCAAGAAAGGTTAATGAAGTCAACCAAACTATTTCAATTTTCCACAATATGATTTCAATCGAAGATCCACCGGTAGACCACTGTGTTAGCCTGTTGAGCATCATCAGTATCGTACAGGCTGTCCTCGATTGAACAAAAACTGTGAAAAACCAACATAATTACTTCATTATTATAAGCTTATACAACAGTTATACCTCACTATATTTATAAGAAAATTGTAAACAAATTGATTGAAATCGCCTCTAAAAACTTTTAATACTCACGTTATGAAGTAATATTGGTCTGAATGTCATCATAATCTCACCTGCAACGAAAAAAATATATTAAAAAGGGGTAAAAACTAGGTATATAACATTTGAACAATTAATAAAGCTTTATTACTCCAGATGAAAATAACAATTAATCGGTTTCTATGAAAAAGGTATATGAAGTAAAATCGTATACTAATTGCCAGAATAAATATTCAGCATATTAAAAACCTATATGCATTGTCGCAATCAAATTCACCTACGATATCTCGAAACATCTTTCGATTTTGCAGTTGATATACTATAAGCAACAACGACAAGAGCATGAGGTGTTCCTGACATGCGAGCCATCATTAACATTGTTTTGAGTCACGTATACTGCAGGATCATAGTTACGGTGCTTTATTACTTTGTAGACATAAATTCAGTTGTAATACCTCGTTTGGGAGTACTTCATACTAATTATGCTATCTTCCGTATTTTGTTGAATGAAGATTGTACTAACGAAAATTTTCCTTCTCAGGACCGGAATTTGTACAGAAATTGTGTTGACATTGTTCACTTCGTGAATATGGTCACCAATATTTTTGTTGTCCATAGATAAAAGTAAATAAAAATTTCAAACTACTAATTTACCTCTCTGAACTACTACCACAATTTTATGTCGATTCTTAAATGACATCTTAGTAGGGGATATTGTCACTGTCAATACTTACTCATGTAATGCAATAGATATTTTTACCAGATTATGAATTCGTATGTGAATTAATATACGGCAGTAATTAAATTCATTTGCAACAGGTGCCTCTAACTAGAGCTTTTATTTTTCACTACATTCATATTTCTATCATTGTGTTTTACCTATACTTAAAATTGTAATCGTCCAACATAAAATGAAACTCTTATTCCCATACTGAAGATGAACATTCTTATGTTTTCCAAATTCATTATTAATGAAATATTTTCTGCGGTATATTTGAAGTTAAAATTTAATAATTGTTCATAAAAAATTGAACCCCTGCCTATAAATTGTAAAGATTGTTGTTTTTGAATGTAACTAAATGTGTTGAATTCTTCTAAAAAAATTGTATGACACTTTGATTATCTCGCATGAATGAAGTAATTTCTGAAAAGGCAAGTTAGATTTAAGTTATAATTTGTGAACACTATGAACACATAAGATCTGCACCCATATTTATTTGAACTGTCGTAGCCATTTTTGTAGAAAAATCGAATTTCTGAAATCTCTTAGATTATGTTAACCTTGGTAATAAGAAATAAAATCGATTCATGTGAATACTTCAATTACAATATTGAAAGTGTTCTTATCATCTTTCAAATAGTATAACTCATGTTTACTTTTTGCCACACGTAGAACAATAATAAGAGCAGACATAGAATGACCAAATTGAAACAAATTAAACTTCTCTTTTGAAATACATGAAATAAACATTTGAATTGTAGATGAAGAGAAAGATGAAATGAATAAATGATTTTCTCAAGAGGAAAGAACTGAGAAATATATATTCGTTTCGGAAAATATCAAAATAAATTATTATATACGAAAGTTGATGCAAATAGGGATGGATGTATTTGATGAATGACTGCTGCACTATGAGGACAGTGAAGTAATATAGAAAAGGAGACACGACAAATCCACATAAATCGTTTAGATCACAAGGAAGGTATCTACAGAGGAAGAGTAAAAAAAGTATAAGTATAACGTAACCTGAATTCTAATAAAATATGTTGCCGAAAATCATTTCAAATAAAAATAAAATACCGAAATTTTCAATTCAATTTCAAACTGAAACGGGANACTAGAGATCGACCGATATAAAAATTTTTGGCGATACGGATAATTCAGTTATCATAATTGGTCAATTATCCGTATTTTCATCATAATAAATTTGTTCGCACTTTACAGTTAACAATAAACGATTCTATTGATTGTTGAAGAGTGGTAATAGATGTTATTGCCAAAAAGATTTTTTCAATAACTCTATAAGTGTTTATGATGATCTTTGAAATCTTCTAGACCAAAGAAATATTCCAACCCAAGGAGAAAACTCACCAAAATATACACTGACAATGAAAGATGCAGATAACGTCGTCAAAAGACGAAAAAACACATACATAAAGAATACTTTTTTTTGCAAGGGAAAAGTTAGACAAAACATTAAATGCAGAAATATCTAAAAATTCCGTTCAGTGGTGAAACGACAATAAATTGGAATTTCCTCATTTATTCCGAAAAGTTTTTCCAGGGAACAAATTCCTTTTGAATATGGTAATATTTATGACTCAAAACGAAGCAGGCTAACTCTTAATAGGGCACATGCATATCTTATAGCAAAACTGACATCATTATTAATGAAATATTTTTGTATTTGTTTCATTTTGTCTATGTTTCATGAAAACTAGTGGACTACTTTAGCTTGATGACGTCATAAGAATTTTTGAAATATTTTCTGCGGTATATTTGAAGTTAAAATTTAATAATATTAGTTTATTTTAAAACGGTTTCGAGGGTGGTGACGAGTGTTCAGAACCCAAGACACGTAAAATACCTAGTACTTTACCATTTACCATATATGCTTGGCATTCAGAATTATCAGAATGTACAAATCCGCCGTTGTGTAAATACAGTTCATTTCATTTGCATTATTTCACGATCTCTGTTTCTACTTCTTCGCCGAAATGGAGAAACTGAAAGTCAGCCAAATGCAAAAGTGGATTTCTGTAAGCAAATAACGGTTCTCGGAGCTCGTTGAAAGAGAACATTAGGAAGCCTAATTAACGTGTTCAATTATCATAGCTTTGGTTTTTTCCCAATTTTTTTTATCGTCTTACCTTGCTCTTGCAATTTCCCCGTTCATTCATTAACCAGATTACTCAGTCCCGTTGCTATGTTAGCGTGAAAGGATATCGAAATCAGCCGTTTATTAGCTTACCGTGGGAGGAATTCCGTGTAAAACACACTCTAGTCAATTTCATTTGAGAAGAGAGGTTAATTCAGGCCGGGGTCAATTCAAGCTCTATTTATAGAAACATTTATTCAGAGATGGTTCGGCAGATACGACGGACAATGCATACAATTCTGCAATGTCAAGAATTTCAACCAAAAAGTAATAAACCGTTTCTACAGGTCGATCATGTTCAAAATTGAATTATGACCATTATGAGGAAAATTTACGAATACTTTCATTGCTCTACGTAATAATACTAATTGTAATTTAATGAACAAAATTACAATTTTGTTCAACTGTTCATTTAAACAGGAAATTTTTAATTTTCCTGAATATTCTATATATTTATGTATGTTCGATACCACCATTATTACTAGATTTACTTTACTCCGATTTACTTTTACTCTCCTAAAACATATATTTAAACATAATTCTCAATTTCTCTTTGACCACTGTGAATAATGAGTAATTGTAATAACGCTTATTAGAAACTATTTTAATATAGTCGTACATAAACGACTAATTTTCAATTATTTATTACAACTAACACGCAAAATGTATGTGTTGTCATAAATGATTTTCCAGTAGAACAAATTTCCAAATTAGCCAATGAACCTGATGAACTGTTTTTTTTTCTCAATGTAAAACCGTTCATGGATGTAGTTAAAGTTTTGAATTTATTATAAATAATTGCTCGCCAGCATCATCAAGTACGCTTTATTCGGCTTATTAAAATTAATATAAACCGAAAACTGTTCATCAATTATTATTCACGCTGAAAGCAAGCAAGTGTAAAGAAATGTTATGAATAGAAATCCAAGCAGCAGATGATTCACAGTACCTTACCACAAATGAAAAGGCAGCCGACTAATGTAACATAACAAAAGCAAGTAAATTTATGGAGACTGACATCAAACATGGAACTGAATGCACTCAAACCGCAAAAGTAGTCTACTATGTTCAAGAAACCTTCCAGAGATGACTGGCGTTTTTGAACACATTTTGTGTGGTTCTCATAATTTTAGTTTCAAAACAAGTACAATCATTTGCAGTTATTAACCTTCTACAATTTGAAATATAAATAAATCTAGATCTATGGAGAATATGCTCAAGTGATTTTCAATTCTGATCAACTTTTATCAAATATGGTTTAGTGGTGGATTTGATCATTAATAGGAAAAATTCATGGACAAAGCACTCCGAAAATTGCAAACCGTATACACGTGTTTCGAATAAACTCATTTACGAGTCCAAATCCACTTTTTTCGCAAACAAATCAGTCTCATGAAAAATAAAGACGGGAGGATGATGAGTTTTCTTCGTTGATTCAGCTACACGATGTGTTTGTTGTGGAACGTACGTGCTGATGAGTCAGTCGTATGTCAGAGAGAAAACGGAGCGACGTCTCTAACCCAATCTCGCCAAGAAAATCCTTTTTGAGAAGCGAACACTTGCCTCTCTTAAGATGTAAAAAGATTTCGCGTAGTACGTGGTGTTGGCACTCCCAAATCCGATCAGCTCCTTCCGATTTAGCGAACTATCATCGGAGTTAGCACCAAAAAGAGAATTCACGTATCACCTACTCACAAAGAGGATATAAATGGTGTGAAGTAGCTCAAATTGAGGAAAAGAAAAATAACCAGTTGGCTTAATCCGTTGAACTTCTACTAATGCATACATTTTAATATTAAAAAAACAATTTGAATCTTGTATCTTGTATCAGGTTCCAAATACTGATCAAATGAAAACCAAAATATGTAATATCACTTGATACAGCATGTTGGTTAAAATTATATTTTTATGTCAACACATTCTACGTAAGAAAATGCCTGATCATGTTTTTCAAACTTTGAGAATTTGGCAAATTGCAAGTCCGACACACTTTTTCAAGAATATATAACGTTCTTTTCTTCCAAATCATCCCAAATATCTTGATTTACTGTCCAATAACGAAATGTAGGGCTCTTATGGGACCTGTTTGAAACATAACGATGTCCCTTAACGGTCTCGAGAATAAGGTTTTCATTATAAGGGTTATGAGGCAGGAACAAAGTAGGTGGACGGCACGTACTGGTCGTATGATATAA